TCCCTTGCCCTGGGGTCAGTCCTGGTGGGACAGCACAGCCCCAGTGCACAGGGGCCCCGCACAGTTTGGGGGGGTGTCTGGGAGCAGGGGGTGCCCTCAGGGCCACCAGTCTGGGTTCCTGTGACCCTTCTGGTGTCCCACAGAGGAGTTCAGCAGAAATGGGCAGCGTTTGCCCGGCCTGTGAAGCTGCTTCTGCAGAGACGTGACCTCCGTGAGACCCGAGGCAAAAGGGAAACTGGAGTTCCCTGTCTGACACCAGCAGCGTCTGAGGCAGCTGCCAGAGCCTCCTGGGGAGGGGAGCAGAGAGGGACAGAGGGGACAGACCCCACAGGGAGGCCTCGGGCCGAGGTTTGCCCGTGGCAGGGATGGAGCTGAGCCTGTGGGATCGTGTTCCCCCGGGGTCACTTTCTCTCCTCACGTTCGGCTTCCCCAAAGGGAACTTTCCACAGCTGCCTCACCCCGCGGGGCTCAGGCACGTCCCTGGCCAGTGTTTGTGTCCTGCAGGATGCTCAAACAGCAGCGCTGCTCCTGCTTTACACCCAGAACCATCGCAGCATTTCGGGCCAGGCTGTGGGAACAGAACCGCAAAATTCTCCTGGGCAGCTCCCGGCTCCCTCCAGGAACGGGAGCTTGGATTTCCCAGCCCACCAGGACAGCAGTGGCTGCTGGGTCCAGCTTTACCCGGGCACCACGAGTCTCCAAAGGCCAGGAAGGAGTTTGTGCAGCATTTTCCTGTGGCTCAGCACGTGCAGGAGGATTTCCCTGCGCCTTGGAGCTCTGCCCGGGAGCCTTTCCGTGACAGAGCTGCTCCCAGCTCCTCTCCCTGCAGTCACAACTCAAACCCTGTTTTTCTGTGCCCCTTGTGCTTTTCTGGCCGTCATGTGCCTCTCGGTTCCCCTTTTCACCATCCAGACGTTTCCCCTTTTTCTTTCCTTTGGAATTTTTTTTAATTTCTCCCCCTGTCGCGTTTTGGGTTTGGAGGGTCTGGTGGCTCTGCCGTGGGACAGGAGCCTGGCACTTTGTCCCCTCCCCGCTCAGGGTGGGTTTGGCTGTGCTGGGCTCCAGGAAAGGTCACTCCAGGGGTGCCAGGAGCCCCTGAAATGCGGGAATGGGCAGGCTGGAGGTGTCTCATTCCCTGCAGGACCTGGCAGGGGCGGCGTCACCCCTCCCTAAAACTCCTCCAAAGCGCCCTGAGAGGGAGAAACTCCCATGAACCCGAGCAGCTCCCAACAAAGCCCAGTGTTTCCAGTTGTGCTCCTCACCTTTGGGCATTTTTGGAGGGGATGGGGTGTCCTTAGGTGCTCCACAACTTTTGCATGAATGGCTCCTTTTCTCTGCATAAGCACATTCTTGAAGGAGTTTTGGGCTTTCCTTCTGCTCTCGCCCCAACCCTCGGACTCCTCTGTTCACTTGTTTAAATCAAGCATAAAGCTCTAACTGTTCTTTGAATATTTATGACCAGTTTTTATCTCATGCCATGCATACAAAACATACTTGATTCCTTTCCTAAAAGTTTTTTCAAGTGCAAAGTTTTAAAAACATGTGGCTTTTATTGCAGGCAGGAATGAATAACAGCATTCCACCCATAACCACATTAAATGGAACAGTAATATTCATATGCGTAAGGGCAAAAGCTGCCTTGTTTCCTATTTGCAGCCGAACTCTGAAATTAATTAAGAACTAAGAGGATCTGACAGTCATTAGGATCTTTTAAGAAGGAGTGGAAGTGGCAGATGGGACCCACGCTCCAAAAGCGCGGCCGTGCTATCAATAGCACAGAGGATGTGAGCCCCGAGCGTGCTGCTCCTGGCGGGGAGAGCACAATCGCGGCCCGGACAATGAAAAATGGCACTTTCGTGACTTCACAACCGCAGCACTCACGTCAATCGCACTCGTGCTCGCTCCCGAGTCACTTCGCAGCTTTTGAAAAGCGCGTCTGATCCCTGCGCGCTGCGCACGCCCGGGTTTGTGCCACACTGGGGGTCCCGGGGCTCCTGGGGAGGTGACAAATCCCCCAAGGGACTGAGGGTCCTGGGGTTCCTGGGGAGGTGACAAATCCCCCAAGGGACTGAGGGTCCTGGGGTTCCTGGGGAGGTGACAAATCCCCCAAGGGACTGAGGGTCCTGGGGTTCCTGGGGAGGTGACAAATCCCCCAAGGGACTGAGGGTCCTGGGGCTCCTGGGGAGGTGACAAATCCCCCAAGGGACTGAGGGTCCTGGGGCTCCTGGGGAGGTGACAGATCCCCCAAGGACAGCGGGATTGCTCCTGGATCCCCCCCCGAGCCACCCCGGTGTGGTGCAGCTGTGGGTCGGGGATGCTGATGGAGATGAGGGCTGCTAATAAAACCCACAGGTCTCAGAGGGGGACAGGTGGGAGCACAGGTGAGCCCCAAAGCTGTCAGGGGTGTCACCGGTGACGATTTCTCCAGCTCAGTCTTTTGGAGTCATTCAAATGCCGCCGGCAGCCAGGTGGGAATCTCAAAATTTTCTGATTTTCTCTGCTGCCAGCACTCCGTGCCAGCGTCTGCAACTCCGGCTGCTCCTCCTGCTGCCCCCAGCGAGGATTTGGGGTGCCAGGGCTGGGCACAGAGAGGTGGCACCGGGCAGCTGCGGCTCCCCAGAGGTCACGATGGATGTCCTGGCTCAGGATGAGACCTCAGACTGCAACATTGGGACTGGGGCTGATCCCAGTGCGGGATCCCCGACCCCAGGGCACAGCAGAGCCCGGGGCAGCCCCCAGAGCTCCTGGGGCCGCTCCGGCAGCTGCTCCCTGCCCAAGATGAGATTTCCCTGATTTATGTCAGGGACAGCCGCTGCCTTTTCCTCCCCCAGTTTCCCCTCATTCCTCCCCCTGAGCCTCGCAGTTTCCTCCCTCAGGAGCTTCTGTCCCCAGCCCGGACCTGCCCCGTGCCAGCCCGTTCGAGCGGTGACACTCAGGGGTTAAAAATTGTCACCAAGTGCACCCCATCGGCCCCGGCATCTGCTGTTTGATTTATGAATGAATTGCACGCTCCCTCCCTGCGTGCTGCTCTCAGATCCCCTTCCCTGAGCTACAAAACAGATCCAGACACCCGCCTGGCCCTACTGAGCGCCGAGCTCCTGAGAGTTTGCGATGAATTTTTAATAGAAAGCTTCCTATGAGCCTGTGCTCTCGAAAACGAGTGGCTCTGCTGCTAAAAGAGCAGCACAAATGAATTAAAAACTACAGAGGAGCTTGTAAGGGAAGTAATCCCAGCGAGGAATGATTTAAAGAGCTGCTGACCTCCCCGCGATGCGAACAGTAGCTTTTGAGTGTTTGTCAAGAGGCCCATGCAAATCCTGGGTCTGATACTCTATTAACCTCCTCGGGAGCGCGGGGAGGGCGCTGGAGGGATAATCCCCACGTGTCGACATCTCCTGGTTTGCGGAGGACCAGAGCAGCGGGAGCTCCGCTGCCGGTTCTGCTTTTCTGTGTTGGAAAAGCAGAATTCGAACGGAGAGGAAAATTCCTTCCCCCTTGGGCACAGCTCTGTGGGTCCCCGGAGCTCTGGGGTGGCTTTGCTTGGCCGGACCCCTCTGGCAGAAGCAGCCACGGGGTTGATTCGCTGGGCTCTGCAGCTCGGGAGGTCTGCAGACGGTTTTGGGGGTTTTGGGGAGCCTGGTTTGTCACAGCTCCGCGGTTTGGGTCTCATCTTGGTACTGCTGGGGGTTGCGGGGTGAGGCTGCACCCCGTCACCCTGAGGGGAGGACAGGGGGGGCAGAGAGAGATTTTGGGAAGGGAGCAGGACGTGGTACCCAGCACAGCTGGGGCTGCAGCTGGGGCTGTGCTTGGGTGGTGCCTGGAGGAATCCAGGTGATGCTTTCAGCTCTAACTGGCTGCTCCCAGTATAAAAAGGGGTCAGAGGAACGGCGGGGCTGTGACACAGCCGCTGGGTAAATCGGTGAAGGCAGAGAAAGGCCGGTCCTGCTGCAGGGAGACACCTCGGTCCTGCATGGACCCAAAATCACGCCAAGGGGCGAGCGGGGCTCCCAGGGGGACCTCTGGGGTGGGGGGGAGGTGACAGGTGACACCGCCAGGGTCGTGCAGGGCGGGGACAGAGGCGGGGGAACCCCGGGGGTCGGTTCAGCTACGGGAAGGGGCAAGAGAAGCAGCGGGGAGGGAGGTGTCGGGATGGTGAGGGGGTGTCGGCATCCCGGGGGGTGTCAGCATCCCTTCCCATCCCATCCATCCCATCCCATCCCGTCCCGTCCCGCCCCGGCGGAGTCCCGGTGCCAACCAGCGGCCGCACGGCGGAACTGCAGCCTCGCCCCGTTCACCCCTCCGTGCCCACCCCGGGGCTACCGGGGGGCACCGGGAAGAGCCGTCCCCGACACCCCGGCAAACCCCGGCCCCGCCCGCGCCTCTGCCCCCGCCCCGGGGTTTGTGCGGGTTCCTCCCGCTGGAGAACGGGGGGCGAAAAGTAGAACTGAACCGGCGGCTGCTTTCACCTAAAAAGGGCAGAATTTGAGCTCCGGTAGCGGCGGGGGCCGGCCCGACCCGCGGGGCTGCCGGGGCTCGGTGGTCCCGGTGCGGATCCCGGTGGTTGCCGCGGTTTAACGGGAGCCTCCGTTCCTCGGTTTTTTTGTTTTTTTTTGGTTTTTTTTAAATATATATTTATTATTGTTGTGGTTGTTGCTTATTTCTGGAGGAACATCGGGGGTTCCTGGGGCTTGCAGAGCCCGGCCCGGGCTCGCCCCTCGAGGCACCGCGGCTGGCGGAGGGAAATGGTTCACGACTGAGAGAGGGGAGTCCGGGAAAGGTGTCGAGCTTGATTTTAGTTTGTTTTAAGGAAATTTGGGTTTCACACCAGGCAGCTCGGAACAGGGAATGCCGCAGCCTCTCGGATGGACAGTGCCGGTCTGAGAACAGCGTCGGACCGAACCGGGCACCGGGAAACAGCCGGGGAGAAGCGCGGGCACAGAAACTTCACCCTCTCCCCCGATTCTGCTCCAGTTTTGCCCCGGTTTTGCCCCCGCCCGCACCGAGGTTCGGGGCGCCGGGAGCCGCCGCCTTCGTTGTGTTTGTTCCCGTAGAACCGGTGGCCTCGCCGCGAATTTTCTCGCCATCGGATTCCGGCCGGAGCCGCCGGCCCTGCCCGCAGCCGCAGCCCCGGGGGAGCCACCGGGGGCTGCGGGCGCCCCGAGCCCGCAGGCGATGAGGCGGGTCTGGATTTTGGGGAGGGCAGGAGGTTTGGGAGCCGCGGTTTTGGGCTCAGGCCGAGAGGCGAATCCCCCGCCGGGGATGCGAGTGCCGGGGGTCCCCGCGGCCACCGCCCCGCCACCCTCCCGTTACCGCGGGGAGCGGCGGCTGCGGCAGCGCCGGGTGCCGGGGGCTGGGCTGGATCCTCAGCCGCGGCTGCGGCCCCAAACCGGCCCCACCGCACCCCAAAACCTCCCCGGCGGCGGCGGCGGCGGCGGCGGCCAGAAACCACCGGAGCCCCGACGTGCGCCCGCCGGGGGCGTGTCCTGAGGAGGCCACGCCTCTTTCACAAAACCACGCCCTCTCCGCTAAAAACCACGCCCCTTCCCATTTAGCCACGCCCCCCGCCCCTCGGGGCTGCGCTGCTGGGCGGGGCCAGGCCCCGCTGCGGGGCTCCCATTGGTGGAGCGGCCTGTCCGTCACGGCCGCTCCGCCCCCCCGGGGCCGGCTGTAAATACGGTACCGGGCGGCGCGGCGGGGCCGGCAGCGGGGCTCGGGCTCGGCAACGGGAGCCGGCACAGGGACCGGCACCAGCACCGGGAACGGCACCGGGACTCGGCACGGAGAGCAGCGCACCCACCGGCACCGAGCCCCGGAGCCGCACGGGCCCCGCTCCGCCGTTCCCCCCCCCCTCGCCGCCCCGCCGAGCACGGAGCGAGGCAGCGCGGGGCTCGGCCTCCCCCGCCGCCCGCCCAGCCCCGCCGGGTGCCCGCCCGCCCGTCCCGCCCGGCTCCCCGACGCCCGCCGTTGTGATGCGTATTCCCGTAGACCCGAGCACCAGCAGGCGCTTCACTCCCCCGTCCACGGCGTTCCCCTGCGGTAAGATGGGCGAGAACAGCGGGGCGCTGGGGGCCCCCGCGCCGGGCGCCCGAGCTCGGCCCGAGGTTCGCTCCGTCGTGGATGTCCTGGCCGACCACGCCGGCGAGCTGGTGCGCACCGACAGCCCCAACTTCTTGTGCTCGGTGCTGCCGTCACACTGGAGGTGCAACAAGACGCTGCCCGTCGCCTTCAAGGTAAGCCCCGGGCCCCGACGGCTGCCGGGGACCGAGCTTGAGAGCCGCTCGCCTTTTCCCCCCTCTGCCCCGTTTCGCTTTAAATCGCTCCTGACATCACCGCCGAGGGAGCGCGGGTTATTATTTTTAATCAAATAGCCCAGTTTATTATTTTTAATCAAGTCTCCGCATTGCCCCGCGGTCACGGCATCTTAGATATTCCGTACAGTTAGGAGCTCTCAGGCAACTTTGAAGTTTAATGAGATGGAGGTTAATTACCTTCCTGGGAGAGGGAGAGCGAGGCAGGGAAGGGAGATCTAATCTGCCAAAAATCCAGCGAGCAGCCGAAGCCCCGGTACCGGCCTGAGCTGCCCGGGCTCCCCGGGGCCCCCCCGGGCCGGGCATCCCCGCGGGGACCGGGACCGGGCCGGGCCGGGGAGAGGCGAGGGGAGCCCGGAGGGATGAGCGGGGATCTCAGCCGAGCTTTCCCGGCTCCGGGTGCTGCTCCCCCGGCAGGGCTGGGGGTTCTCCCCGGGGTCTCTCTGGCGGCCGCCGCGCGTTCTTTTCATCCCGAATCCAACCAAATAAACGCTCGGACTGCTCCGACGGGGCCTGACCCCCCCCCTTCACCCCCTCCCCGCGCACCCCCTGTCTGCTTTTAACCCTTTCGGAGCTCCTTCTCCCCTTCCCCCTCCGATTTTCTCAGCCTTCCTCGCGGTTGCTTTTGGTTTTGCTTTGGGTTTTTTGGTTTTTTTTTTTTTTTTTGTTGCGCGGGTTTAGGGGGGGAACCGTAGCGCAGGTTGGAATGGGTGAAGGTGAATTTTCGCCTGAAATGCTCTGGCCCTGCCCTAGGTCGTGGCGCTCGGAGATGTCCCCGATGGGACCGTGGTCACGGTGATGGCGGGGAACGACGAGAATTACTCGGCGGAGCTGCGCAACGCCTCTGCCGTGATGAAAAACCAAGTAGCGAGATTTAACGACCTCAGATTTGTTGGGAGAAGCGGCAGGGGTAGGTACCGGCCAGGAAATGGTTGGCCTTTTTATTTTGTTTTTTTTTTTTTTTAGAGGGGGGGAAAAAACCCCCCAAAAACAACCAAAAAAGAGAGAAACATTTTTCTTTCCTTTTTATTTAAATATTTTCTTTTATAATTTTTTTTGAAATTTTATTTTGTTGGTTTCTATTTTTTGAATTATTATTTTTATTTTATTCTATGCTATATTTTGTTTCGACCGTGGTTTCGTTGCCGGGAGAAGCCCCCCCAGCCCCCGAGGGATGAGAGGGATGCGGGAAGGATGCGGGAGCAGCCCCGGCCCCGCCGGCAGCTCTGCCTCGCTCCTCCCGGGGCTCCTTCTCTGCCCAGGTGTCGGGAATGGGCCGTGCAGATGGAAAAAAAAAAAATGAAAACACAGATTTAAATATATCTAAATATCTAAAAATCTATTTAAACACAAATAAGGCGGCCCCAGCCCGAATATTCCCCAATTTCTCCCATCACGCAGGAGGAGGCGGCGGCCGGTGCTGCCTGAGCAAACCCCACCTGGCAGCTCGACTTTAAACAGCGAAAATCGAGTTTAAAGTGAAATAATCCCAGTGCAGAGCTCGGCCTGGAGGGCTGGCACGGGCAGGGAGCTGCGGGCTCTGCTCGGGGGGGGATTTTTGCTCATTTTCCCCACGCTGGTGGCAGGGAAAAGCAGGACGGCAATTCCCGGGTTTTGCCAAACAAATCCGTTTTGTTTGAGGGAAATAAATCCCCTGGAAACGTTAAAGACGGAGCTCTGCCTGCCCTCCCCGTACCTGAGTTTCCGAGGGTATAAATAGAATTTCAGCATTTCATCACCAGTGAACGCTGCAGATCGAAGCACTCAGTTCTGCACTGGAGCCCAAATAAGAACTCGATATTTTTATGGCCATATGGCAGCATTTTCTCAAAGGTTTCATATGTACACACGCAGTGTCAGATATATTTTGACTTCTCCGCATTAATTAAAAGCAGTGATGTTAGGAATTATTTGCATGTAATAACTGTTTACTTGTTCCTCTTTATGAAACTTGAATAGTTTACATTCTTTCATACATTTCCTTTTTCCTGTTGGCTCCTTCTCCATGTTGCAGTTTCTTTAAAACTCTCCACTTAACTGGTTGCAGGTTGATGGATGGAAAATGTTTTTCTTTTATGAATTAAGCTTTCATTTCTGTAATCAATTATTCTCTTAGGCTCTTTTCTTTCTGGTTGGGCGCTTTTTTTTTTTTTTTCTATTTTTTTTTCTTCATCCTCGCACAAATTTCCAAACTGAGCGCAACGCAGTCTCAGCGTGACTCTTGAATTCATTATTAATTCGCTTCCTCTGCACTCTCAAGCTCGGAATTAGCAGGAGTTGGGTCTCGTAAAGCCCTTGGTGAATAAACTCGGTCCTCGGGCAGAGTCCTCCCTCATTACAGCGGCACCTCCGCTGCCTCTAACGGGCGGGACTCGCGCGCTAATTATTTTAATTTTTTTTTTTTTCCTAATACATATTCGTGTGGGGTGAGGTTTTCTCATATTCAGAGAGGAACCACCGGGGCTCCCCCGTGCCTGGCGTTGCTTTCCCGGCACTTTCAGAGCAATTTGCTGTGAAAAATCGCTCCTGTTGAATTTTTATACCGGGTGTCACACTCGCTCTGCCTCGTTTGGCTCCATCCCTTGACAGTCCCCGGTGCTGCTTTCATTTATTCTGGCAGAAATTTTGGAATATTTCCCTGCGTGTGTACAAATGTTTGTGTAAATGCGAAGCGAGGACGTGTGGATCTGTAAACGGGGATCCTGCTCCTGCCTGGAAAACCCCGGAACCAGGCTCTGCTTGGGAAAACACCGCTTGAAACCGGCCAGATTTGGGGTTTTTTTTTAGTAATAAGGTCTCAGGGATTATTCCTGAGCCGGGAAGAGCAGCTCCTGACTCCCCCTACAAAAAATAAATTCCCATCTCCATGTGCAAGACAGAGAGGAAAAAAAAAAAATCAGACTTTTTTGGACTCAGGTTGAGTATAGGTTTTCATTCGTATAAAATGAAAGTAATCCCTGCTGCACCCCGCCTGTTCTCCCAGCTGGAATTATCCCCCCGGAGCATCCCTGGGGCGGGCAGGGCTCCCAAACCCACCCGGGAGCCGCGATCCGGCCCCGGTGGGGATGAGAAACCCCAGCCCGGCTTCCTGAGAAGGCGGGAAATGACTAAAAATGATGCAGAAATGACTAAAAATGATGCCGGGGCAGAATCGGCATTTTCGGTTCAGGGCAGCGAACCTGAGAGAGGCAGAACCGGCCCGGCCTGGGTTTGTGTCTGCAGCGAGGGACTCCGGGGCAGGGAGGTTGTTTCACGTGGAGAATAAAACATTAAATATTATAATAATAATAAATAAAATCGGTATTAATGCAGTGTAAAGAGAGGGACGGACGTGCCGGGCTCAGCTCTGGGGTTCTGTTCGCAGCCGCCTTTTGCTGCCTGCGAACCCTTCCCTCTCCTCCTGCAACTTCCCTAAATAATTTCGGGAATGAGGAATTCTCCTCCTCACCCCTGGCTCTGCGAAGTTTTCCCCTCAATCTCTTCGGTGCTTTTTTGGTTTTTTTTTTCCGTGGTCGGGATCCTCCGCGCTCTGCGGGCTCGTCCCGTCCCTGCAGGTTGGCAGAGGGGGCTGCATCCTTGGGGGCTTCAAAAGGAAATAATTCCATTTCTTTTGCCTTCCCAAACGCTCCTCTCTGTGCAGAAAATGAGCGGGAGGTTTGTGCATCGCTCACAAAGGTTTGAAAGCCGAGGTGAGGCGGGGTTGGGGTTTGCTGCCGGCTTTAGAAGCGGCGTTCCCTCCTCTCCGTGCTCCCTGGAGGAATTCTCCCACCTGGGATAATTCCAGGATGTTCTCCGGGAGAGATAATTCCTTTTCTTTTTTTTTTTTTCCGGTTTATTCTTTTTTTCCTCCTACCTGGAGAAATTGTTTTGCTGTGGACATTCTCAGATCCGACCCCTGGGATCTGGAAACTCCTGATTTCTTCAGGAGGAAAAAGGGAAAGGAGGTGGTTTCTTATTGCTTTTATTTGTGGGATAAAGGCTGGGGGAGCAGAAATGCATCACGCACAGGTTTGTACCTGATCTCCTGCTGCCGTTCAGGCCTCTGGAGCACCTGACACCTCTGAAATCCCGCAGGGATCGCTGCTGGGGCTTGGTCAGAGCGGTTTGTGCAGCCTCCTCCCTCCAGCCGAGGGTTTCCTGAACTGGGGGAGCCTCGGGGGGTTTCTGTTCTCCCACTGCCTCCCCTGGGCCAGATACCGAGCCCCAGCCAGCCCCGGCTGCGGGAGGTGAAGGATTTGGGGTCAGGGTGGGCCCAGGGGTGGTGAGACCCTCTGTGATGATAAAGGAATTTTCAGGCTGGTTCTGCTGGGGCAAGGAGGGCTCTTCTTACAAAATTTGGCTCCCAAGAGCTTTTATTTATTTTTTTTCTTTCCATAAAAGGTGCTCGGTGCTTCAAAAACATCTCTGAAACCCTTCCCGAGGTTATCTCAACCTTTTCCCAGCAGCAGATTCCTGTTCTCTGGGCAGGGCTGCGAGAAGGGACAGTCCCTGCAGAGCCGCCTGTGTCTGGTGGCCGGAGCTGGCCGGGTTCAGTTCCCGTTTTGCAGTTCCCAGTTTTTGGCCCTCCCGTGGGTGCCCCCAGGGCCGAGGCCGAGCTCGGCTCCCTCCAAACGGGAACATCCACAGGGATCCCCCGCAGGCTGAGCCCGGCTCCTTCCCAAGGGAACGTCCCATGGGGATCCCAGACCCCCCCAGAGAGGGGATCCCGCTCCCAGCGCTGCTCCAGGGCTGCATTTGCTCGGGAAAAGGGGAAATATCGGAGCAGGAGAAGCCCGGGGAGCTGCTCAGGGCAGGGGAAGGGGACGAGTGACTTTTCCATGCGGGCAGTCCCGGCTCCAGGGCTGCGTGTTTTGTGTCGGGGCAATCCCGGCTCATTAAACGCAGTGATGAGTGCGGGGCTTTGTGTCCGAGCCCCCTCCGGCTGCAGCTTCTCTATCCCACAGGAGCTGAATCCATGCGGGATCCTCACTTCTGTCGTGTTTATTTATTTTATTTTTTTTCCTCCCTAGGGAAAAGCTTCACCCTGACCATCACCGTGTTCACCAACCCCACCCAAGTGGCCACCTACCACCGAGCCATCAAAGTGACCGTGGACGGGCCCCGGGAGCCCCGGAGTAAGTGCAGGCTTGGCTTTGGGGTTTGAGATTTGCGGGCCGGGGGTGCAGGGTCCGTGGTTTGGGGGATGAAGGATGAGGAGCTCAGGGCTGGCATTGGGGTGGCACCGTGTGCTGCTCGCCTTTCCCTCCCTGCCTGCCTCCTGCTCCTCATCCCATGGCGGAGGGGATGGTTTGTCGCTCCTTGCCCCGCTCCCTAACCCACCTTGGAGGGATAATTGCAGAGCTCCGGGTTGGGATGTTGGGAAAACTCTTTGGGCTTCCATGGGAAAAGCGCGAAGGACCCAACCTGGGGGGGTTCTGAAATCAGAGATCTGTGCTCGGCTTCGGGGGCTGATTGCTGGTGATGAGAGCAGGAATAAATGAGAAATGGTGCAGGTTCCCGGGGTGCCGAGGCGGTGTCTGCCCTGACACCGAGCTCCTTTCCCTCGGCTCCGCCGCGGTTTCGCTTTCGGGCTCTCAAAGGCCGGGGCTGGCAGAGCCCGGGGGCTGAGCCTGGAGAAACCAGAGACACTCGGAGACCGCAGAATCGTCTGTGTTGTGCTGGGGAGGCTCTCCCGGGGGCACGATGGTGCCTCGTGGTTCGGGGAGGTTCCGGGAGCTGCCCTGCCTGAGCTGCCTTTCGGCGTCGGGCTGCTCCGAGCTCCCCTCGCTGTTCCCAGCCGCAGGAATTCCCTCTCACCGCGGGGATTCTTCACCCCCAGGGACCCCCCCCGTGTGCTGGGATCGTGTCCCTGGGGGCTCCATCTCCGGCTTTTCGCTCCGGCCTCTCCTTCCTGCCCGCTCAGCACCAGCCCCGGACAGAGAAAGCCGAGTTTGTTCCCTCTGCGTGTGAGGCTGCAGTGCCCACAGCGAGGGGAAGCGATTTGATCCTTCAAAAAACTCCTCAGGAAACATTTTGTGTTGATGTCGTGGCTGGGCCATGGGTGCCCCTTGATGTCAGGCCAGGTGGAGGCTGTTCCCTCGCCCAGGGGGTTCCATTTCCATCCAGCTTTGATGGATTTTCCCCCCCCCCCGCTCCTTGATTTTATTTTGGAGCCTGTCGAGGATGGATTTAGAAGCTGGAATGCAGGAAATCCAACGCTGCTGTTGTGGGGTTTTATTTTTTTTAATTTTTTTTTTTTTTTTTTAAGCCAGAAACATCAGCAGGTCGTTGGTGTGGGGCACTTGTGGGTCGTGGTGGGTGCTGGGGCTGGGCAGGGAATTTCACAAGCAGGAGTGTCAGGAATAGAAACCAACCCTCCTGACTGCTGGCTCAGCCCCTTATCAGCTGCATCAGATCGCCTTTCTAATAATAATAATCATCATCATCATCATCATCAGGAATACATAAATAATAATACAAGCTGAGATAGTTGCTACTCTTGGAGCTCGGTTTGGCCTCCCCGACAGCCAAACCCGGGTGAATCACACCCGTTCCTCCTGAATTTCAGCATTTCACCCCAGAGCTCCCCAGCCTGCATTTCCATTTTCTGATAGCGAGGCCAAGGCCAGGATGGAGCAGCTCAGGTGTGGGGACACAGCCCAGCGTTTTTCTGGGATTTTCCCTTTTTTTTTGGATCTCAAATTGATGATTTGATGATTTCTGGGCCTCAGCTTGTGCTGGAAGTGTTGGCTGATCTCCTCGAGGAGATTTGTGTGGTGTTTGCTGTTCGTGCCCTTGTGTGGCCCCCAAAGGTTGATCTCTGCCCCATCCCTGCACCCCACAACCCAAAAATTGCTGATAGAAAAGGTCTAGACCCAAATTGTGGCTATTTTGGAATTGTTTTTTTTTCAGGGAATCATAGATTTGTTGGTCATGTTTTGCCTCCCAGTTTGGCCCTGGGGCTTGAACCCATGGTTGACGAATTTCCAGCGGAACAAAAACATTTCTAAAAAAATTCCCTTTTTTTGCCACACTTTCGAATGGAGACGACAATTCCAAAAAAATAATGAAATCCCACTTTTCTCCCCTTCCCACCCTGCAGAAACCCCGGGTGTGGAAGCAGCAGCAGCTGTAAAATGATCCTGGAAAGCCGAGGTGCTTTTCCTGGTTCAGTTGCCACTGGGTGGCTCCCGGGCACAGCACCCTGGCAGTGCCAGCATTGGGGTGGCATTTGGGGCTGGCACAGCTCTGGTGATCCCCACCTTGGGCCAGACACCGAGGCTGGGGCTGCTCTGCCTTGTTTGGCTGTGGGAGGTGAGAGCTGCCAGCAGGAATTGCAGTTTTGATGTGTTTATATGTATTATATAGGCTTCTAAACGTGTAAATGTGTATGCATGTGTGGGCATAAAAATATATGGAATTTTTTCCCCTTTTTGGCTTCAAAAGCTGGGCCATGGTGTGTGTTGTGAGGATGAGCACTGGGCAGGGCTGGAGGCTGGTGTGGGGCTGGTGGAGAGGACAAAACCCATCCTTAATGTGGAAAGAATTGGCCATTTGTCTTGGCACCCTGGGAAAAGCCTGGGCAGCGTCTTCTCAGCCCAGAATCCCTGCAGCCAACGTCCTTGTGGGGTTTGGGGGCCAGGGCTGTGGCCGGGCTCCACCTCTGAGCATCCCATTCATCTTCCACCCCTGGCCCTTCATCTCAGCCCTTGAGCGAGGCTTTTAACTCGGGCTGTGCCCAGATCAAACTCCTGAGCAGCCAAGGGTGGGAAATCCAGGGAAGGGGGTGATGGGCAGGGGAAAGGAGCAGGGGGGATCCTCGGGGGTCCCCCAGGAGCCTGGAGCAGCTCCAGGGGTGCCTTTCCTTGAGCATCTCCTCCGAGCCATTCCCAGTGCCCCTCTGGCTCCGAGCTCGTTTTTCCTTGTGCTCCAGCTCTCTCTGGAGGAGGAAAAAAAAATTTTAAAAAAAAGGACATTCTGTCAAGTTGGCACCTTAGCTCTAAACAAATAGCACAGCGGGTGCCAAGTGTTGACATACTTTGTACAAACAGGAAGTAATAAAATATTTGAACTTCCTGTGGAATTTCCTTCTTTTCCCCCCCTTTCTGCAGCCCTGTGTTCAGCAGGAGCCCTGCTGCAGATCCCTCTCACATCCACTGCTGCCAAACAATCCAGAGCAGGCAGAAGGTGGGGAATGGAAGGGCTGGGAGCTGCTCAGGGGGTTCAGTCTGTTCCTGGGGAAAAGGGAGCGTCCCCAGGGCCTCTCCTCACACCCCCTTCCCTTCCCTTCCCTTCCCTTCCCTTCCC